ACACACACACACACACAACACGGGCGAGAACCACCTCCTCACTGCAGCACCGGATCAACGGCGGCACGCACGCCCGGTCGGCCCCCTGCCACGTGATTGGGTCAGCCGCGCAGGGGCAGCTGAGACTTGTAGTCCTCGACCCTATGGCAGATGGCTCGATAACCTCCGAAAAAACTACATATCCCATAAGGAACCGCACCCAGTCACCGGCCTCCTAGCTTGTTGACGGAACTTGGAGCGCCTGCGCGACGGGGGGAGGCGGAGGAAGGCGGCGCGATGCTTGCTGGGAGGCGTAGTCCGCAGGCTGCGAGTTGTCAGGAGGTTTCCTACGGAGGAGGCAGAGAGGCTGCCGGGAAGACAGGACACGTGGAGGAAGCTGGGTCCTGTAGCCGGCCTCCAGCTAAACTCTGGGCGTCGGGCCCAGGGGACTGGGTGGAGGCTTTCGGTGGGGGTGGGGGGAGCCGGCTGCCTAAATAACGCTCTCTTTGCTTGGCGCGACTGGTTTTATTTTGTCTTGGTGCCTGATTCGCTAGGCTTGCACCCTGGGGCGTAACCGCTCTCCGGGTGGGGGGTGGAGGGGGTGGCTCTGGACTCTCCCGCGGCCCCTGTGGGTGTGGTCGCGGGTGTCTCTCGCAGGTGGAGGTGCGTCACGGGACCGGCTGGTGGAGCGACCTTGTGTAGAGTTCCTAGGTTTGTCCCGGAGTGACCGTCCTCGCTGCACAGTCGCGCACGTGAGGCTCGTGTATTCGCCGAACATCAATTACAGTACGCGGAAGTAGGATCCCTTCTGAGTTTGCTGTAGCCCGGCACTTGAGGGAGTGCCCCACTTCAGAGAACCATAATTAGGAATTGGCAAAAACAAAACAAAACAAAAAACCCAAAAGGGAAACTCGTGCAGTTCTTAGCCACTTAAAAGCATATTTATATATAGTGGCACGAGGTGTAATCACATACAGCAGTATTTGGGGAATGCCATGATACAGTAAGACTGGGGTGGTCGCTGCCTTCGTGTAGCTTGCAGCTTCGGAAGCTAAGGAGAGACTTCTGCCGCCATTTTAAAAGAATGCATTAAAACCAACAGGTTGTGGCACAAGCAGATCCCACCACTCTGGGAGGCTGAGGCAGGAGAATTGCAAATTCGAGGCCAGCCAGACAATTTAGTGATTTAGCAACACTTAACTCAGGGGAAAGCAACAAAAATGAAAATCCCAACCATTTTTACCTGACTTTTGAATGTAGGAATTTGGCATTGTAACACATACAACCCTTATGACATATCCTTGTGTGAGCCTATAGTTATTGCTGAAGAGATATTTGTAAATGTAGTAAACTTTCCTTTAAATACCTGCTGTAGCTGGCCATAGTGTTGCATGCCTATGATCCCAGCACTCAGGAGGGAGACTGAGACAGGAGGAGTTTGAAGCCAGCTGCTCTTGAGTTTGAAGCCAGCCTGAGCTACGCAGTGAGACACTGTCTCACAAAAACCAAAAGAGTAAGAGTGAGAGAAAAAAGCACTACGGGGCAACATTAGCTACAAGTTAAATTCACCCGGAATGGTAGTGGTGAACCTGTGGCTCGAGGTGCTGCGTTGGGCACACGGAGCCCTCACTGCCGGCTCATGAGCCAGGTTGCCCCAGCAGCCAAGCATTGGATAACAGTTGTTTTTTTAAAAACTAAAACCTCAGTATTCAGGGTTAATTGCAGGGCTGGCACTTTGTGATAAATAAGTGGGTTCTAGGTTGCAGTTTGGACACTCAGACTCTAAATTAAGGTTCACCATCACTGACCTAAGAGTTTAAAAAATTCCCATGCCCAGGCTATACCCCAGGCCATACCCCAGGCCAGTTAAATCAGGACTTCTGTGGGTTTGGACCAAATAGAAACAGTGCTTAAAGCATCTCAGGTGAACCCAGTGTAGACTGAAGACAGGACTACTACTCTAAAGGAGGCCAAGATAAGTAAGATAGTCTTTCACTGAATTGTATAATTTAAAAGAGTGGCTTTTATGGTCTGTCAATAATTATACTTCAGTAAAACTGTTATAAAAGGAAATAATCTTTGCTCATGGAGAATCTAAAACCTGTAGACAAGGTAAGCATCAAAGAGGTGGTACAGCTGGGTGCGGTGGTGCACGCCCGTAATCCCAGCATTTGGGAGGCTGAGGCAGGAGGATCACTGCAAATTCAAGGCCAGCCAGGGCTACATAGTGAGTTCAAGGCCAGCCTGAATTACATCGCAAGACCCTGTCTCAAAAAATGTTGTGCAGTGGTGGGTGAATGCTGCAAGCGCTCAGAAGAGGGGGACGGAGCAAGGTGGGGTGTTGATTAAGGATGTTGAGGTGTCGGCCCCACCATCCTGGGCTGGGGCCTCACAGATCAGGTGGGAATTTGCTCACCATGAATCACCTGATGTGGGCAGGAAGTCTGCACGGTGGGCTGAGAAGAATGAGAAAGGCTCTTCCCAGTGATGGATGGATATAAAAACCTGTCAGTTTGGTAAACGCATCTGACCTAACAGACCAAACGTTACACCCAAGGATTATAAAATATGTTATTTTCAGGCATTCATGGAACATTTACAAGAACTGACCATGTTTTGAACCATAAGACAAATTTCTACAGGTTTTGGGGGTGCTGTGACTTTAGAGAATGTGTTCTTGGACCTAATAAAAGTTAAAGAAGAAATACTAACAAACAGCTGAGTAGAAGTCCAGGGTCTGTAATCTTAACACTCTGGGAGGCACAGGAAGGAGGATCACAAGTGCAAGGCCAACCTGGGCAAGTTAGAACCTGTTTTAAAAAAATAAAGGCTGTGGGTGTAGCTCAGTGCAAACCCTGGATTCAAGTCCCAGTCTTGGGGGTGTTGGGGGAGCTAACTACAAGGCTTGGGACGTACATCAGTTGTGTAGTGCTTCTCTAGCTTATATAATGCTCTGAGTTCGACAGTACTGCAAACATAGAAAGCTAACTAGAAAAAAAAAAGAAAGCTAACTGGAAAAGTTTTGCAAGTTTGGAATCTTGAAGAAGCTTTTTTGTTTTTTGAGACAGGATCTCACTATGTAGTTCATTATTTGCAGTCCAGGCTGGCCTTGAATTCCTGATGATCCTCCTGCCTCAGCCTCCCAAGTGCTGAGTACTGGGTTTACAGGAGTGTATGGCTACACCCAGCTAAAAGGCTCTTTTATTTTTGTTCTTTTTTTCTTTTTGGTTCTGGGGATCAAACTCAGGACCTTGCATTTGCAAGGCAGACATGGTGACACTGAGCTAAATCCCCGGCCCTAAAAGTGCCTCTTGGGCCAGGGATCTAGCTCTGTGGTTCCTCCACCTGCCTTGAAAGCTCAAGGTCCCAAGTTTGATCCCTGTACCAGAAAAGAAAAAGAAAAAGAAAAAAGAAAAAAAAATACTCCCCAAGAGGCACTTTTAAATGACTCAAAGGGAGACGCTCATGATCAAGGCAGTAGACAGAAAAGAAGCAGGATACAAGCACAGAAGCGTCCTTCAGTTTCCACTGTGTGCTTTTTGGACACGAATGACACTCTAAGAATCCCTCTTTCCCCAAGTGCGTGTTGTTAAAGCCCTCTGGGAACTGATCAGGACCAGACCTGTCAGCCTCCTGCTGCTGCAGCTCAGGTTCAGCGGTGACATCACCAGGAAGCTTTTAGAAATGCAAAGCCTCTCCCCTAATCTGAGGAAGTAGAAGGGAGACTACTGCTTAGACAAGCAGGGGAATGGGGAAGGGCCTAAGGGAGGGGGAAATTATTGAGTATACCATCAAGAGATCATGATCTTGACACATTCAGTGAGGTGGAAAGATGCTCACTACAGTTAAGTGAGACCAGGTAAAAAAAAAGTGAAACAACAGGTTACAAGCAGTGTATATGACATCAGTTTTTTTCAAAAATGTGTTAATGCATAGAGATATCAAAAACTTGTCTAGAGTAGTGTTCACTTAATTGTTTTCATTTGTTTCAGAAACTTGTGCTTTGTTTTTGTTGTTTTTTGAGACAAGGTCTCCCTATGTAGCCCAGACTGGCCTGGAACTCAAGATGAGTCTTGTCTCAGCCTCCTGAGTGTGGGGATTACTGGTGTACACCACCACACCCAGTTTAGCTTTTCCTTATTATTGCTACTAAATTTAAACTTTAGAGGAAGAAAAAAAAAAAAAAAAAGGAAAAGAGCAAGAAGTGCCAAGTTGCCAGGCACGGTGGCACATACCTATAACCCCAGCATTTGGCCGGCTGAGGCTGGACGATCCCGTCTGGGTTCTGTAGTTCAAGACCAGCCTGAACTATGTAGCAAGACCCTGTCTCGAAAGAAAAAGGCAAAGCCTCAGGCCCCACACCAGACCTACTAAATCAGATCTGCATTTTTAGCCAATTTATATCCTCATTAGCATTTGAGATGCTGGCACATACCTATAACCCCAGCATTTGGCCGGCTGAGGCTGGACGATCCCGTCTGGGTTCTGTAGTTCAAGACCAGCCTGAACTATGTAGCAAGACCCTGTCTCGAAAGAAAAAGGCAAAGCCTCAGGCCCCACACCAGACCTACTAAATCAGATCTGCATTTTTAGCCAATTTATATCCTCATTAGCATTTGAGATGCTCCACTGGGGATTAGGGGGCTTCAAATGTAGTGGGTACCTGGCTTTCTGACTTTATTACAGTTCGGTTTTCATCCTTCCACTTGGCTAAAATCACTGGTGTTCAGACAACCAGCTACTTCCTCATAATTTAATGCCTTGTATCATTTGGTCTGTCCGTGACCTACTTTTTTTTTTTTTTTTTGTATGGGGGATTGAACTG